ATAATCGGCAGCGAAAGCTATAATTTTAGATGTAGAGCACAAGGTAAAGTCAATGAAGTCGCTTACAGATGAGCATGGTGGAGAGAGTAAGTCAAGACCAGAGCAGACTTAAATTTAGTATAAGGATAAGATGCTACGTGAAATGGCCATAAAATTGTGATTGCGAGGTAGTGCCCTTGCTTCTGATATAGGAGTGTGTATAAATATATCTCGATGTGAATTCAAAGGGATGCTTTATTGCACGTAAAGCATCTCGTCACGCGAATTATCTAGTAGGAGTAAGGTACACGGTGCCTACAACTTAATATCCTCACTAAGCTTAGTGTGAGGCTAGGTAGTGGAATATAAAGAAGAAGAAGAGCATAATACGATTCTTATAAGCACAGAACAGGACATCGTTTAGTAATGTCATAATGTTGAAAGTTCAACGAGTTGGGAGCACAATCCCTATGGGAAACGTTTTTGGTCTTTTATTCATTTTCCTTTTTGGATAGCTTACAGAATATGGTATAGAGCCCACTGTTTCATCACTCTGGGCGGGATTGTGTCCATAAAATGAAAATTAGCTTTTGTTACGATTGTGAGACAGATGTAGAAGTCATAAGGATAGATTGAGTGGTCTGCAGAAGGTGATATGATTGTGATTTTTAAACCACTTATAGCAGCAATAGGATTATAAAACGAGGTGGCACGCACGATCAGCATCCGCTTTATATGAAGAAAAGTTGTGCACAAATATTGCTCATTAGGCGTTACTACAAAGTTTTTTACAGTTCAATACTGGCTGATCTAGTCATTTGCCAGACGCAATTATCAAAATGAAATCTGACAAAATTTTTTTGTTTGTGTCAACTTATATTACATCTTAAAGAAGTACTGGAACACAATCTGACTGTCAACTATATAGTTATGTTGCAGTATAGTTTATCACTCAAAACACGAAAACCATAAACTTCTTTTTTGGAATTTTCCAATGGCATACAATCATGTCCACATGACATGTAATGTACTATCACGGGTCGATTGTATAGATGGATGAGTAGTGCGTTCTGAGGCATAGAATGCATTTGCAATCGATCACTCCAAACATCACACACAAATGCATGAAAAAAGCGAATGTCATTTGAGAAAATAAAAGTTCTAACTCTTTTTTCCTTAATTATATAAAGAAATAATAAGTAAGGTTATCGATCGTTTAAACAGTAATTTTCTTGTGTAGCTATTTTAGGCAAGCAAGTGAGGGATTTAAAAGCTTTTTGACATAGTTATTATAAACGCGATAGCTAGTTTTCACCCAAACTCAAAGATAAATGATTTCTCATGTCAGGAAAATCTAATTTTTCTGCTAATTCTTAAGTTGTTTATTTTGCACACGATTTGTTTCAGAATAGGATTTAACCTAAACGACTTAGATATGCGTAGTCTCGGGAAATTTGTGTTTGAACACCGAGTCAACGACGTCCTATTTTTTGTTTGGATGTTTTGTCTCCAAGATGTCAGCTTCAAAATGATCCATAGCCGCCCGCATTGTTTTAGTATATTTCTGAAGGTAGATTTTCACTCAATGTGCAAATTACACGATCTGTACTATGCTCTATCGTATCACCCTCTCGGGGATTGAATTTGTTTTCGTGAAATGACGAGCGGTTGGGAGCGAGGGAACTGTTTGTCACTTGACTCTGTGTAGGGCAGACGACATATTCTGTGAGCTCCGAATGGAGCGGGTGCTGTCTGCTCTTGCTCTCAATCTGCGGTGTCTTTGCTTTGTAATCATGCTCATTAAATTCGGCATTATCTTGAGTTGGATGCGATCATAGTCCTAAAGTTTTCTATTTTGGATAACCCTCAATAATTAAATTGGTCGGGAATCCAAGTAGGAGAATCATAGCAGAGGTGTCGTTGGTAGGATAGATTGATTCTCCATTTTCCTTGCCCTTACCCGATCATTTTGAGTTTCCTTCCTCAGACATGATCCATATATACTGGATAATCAAGATAATAGATGTTGGAAAATTGAATAAACAATAATTGAAAGACAATAATACTTTAATAAAAGAGATTGTAAGAGTAAGGAGAAGAATAAATAAATAATATAGAGATAGAGTGTAAGTATATTGGTAGAGAGAGTAAAATAGAGAGTCGTAGTATATTGTAGAGAGAGTAAGTAGAGAGAGTTGAAGATTTTTTTGTAAATGAAGTTTGTAAATAATAAGCATAGTGTATTTATACAGTGAGAATTTCAAAAATTCCATCTTTTTCCAAAAATACGCCTTGATAACTAGCCGTTTATGGCTTTATTGGGAGCGGGTAATTAAAGAGAATATTAACAAGCAAATTAAAAAAAAAAAAACCAGGTCCTGACAGTTACAGAACGTAGAACTTCGCGTGGGTTTGGAACCGGCGGTTCCAGTTCCCGGTTCGACCGGTTCCTTGGAACCACCTGTTCTAGTTACTAATTTTCTGACAACACAGAACCGAACCGAAATTTTTCGGTTTCGGTTCTGATTCGTCCGCAGTTCCGATTACGGTTCCGGACCGAAATTCAAAACCGCCGATCGAGTTTCCTGAAATCGGACGACGGTTCCTCGAGACCGACGGTTTCCGGGAACCGGATTTCACAACAAAATTAAAAAAAAAAAACCAGGTCTGACAGTTACAACGGCTAGAACTGCCGGTTTGAACCGGCGGTTCCAGTCCGGTTCCGACCGGTTCTCTGGAACCACCGGTTCTAGTTACTAATTTTCTGAAACCAGAACCGAACCGAAATTTTTCGGTTTCGGTTCTGATTCGTCCCAGTTCCGATTACGGTTCCGGACCGATTCAAACCGACGATTCCTCAAATCGACGGTTCCTCGAACCGACGGTTCCGGGAACCGGAAGCGTAATTTGGCCATGCTTATTCACAACAATTTGATAAAAGAATGTCCTTTCCATTCGAAGGAAATGGATTAAAACCTCCCTCCGATATGACATATTTTAATGGAGTAATGATCGATTTTTTTTTTTTTATTTGTAAAAAAAACAAAAGAAAAGTTAGTTGATGAGGTCAGGTGGCATCCAACTTGATGATTGATAAATGACTACTGATTTTTTAATTATAAAAACTATATTATAGGATGGCAAAATGTGTCTCCATCCCTATCAATTGACAAGTAGGCAAGATATCACTTTCACTTAATTCTTTTCTTTTTGTTTTTTTTTTTTTGAGAAAATAAATAATTTTACTCCTCCATCTTCAAATTTATAAAAATAATAATATAATAATTTTTACTGCCATCATCTTCAAATTTATCATTGTTATATGTATTGATATTTTAAAATTTTAATTGTAATATTTCTCTTGAAGGAATTTTAATTTGTAATATGTAATGCGATGAACATCATCAATTCATCCATTTATGCAAATAATACTATTATCAATTCATAAAAAAGTATTATTATCCAAGAAATATGATGTGATGAAATATGATATCAAAAAAAAATTATTTTGAGCAAATATCCAACCATATAATAGATTTGTTTTTCTCTAAATTCTCATTTATCACTTTACTTATTTTCTCAATTTTAATTTTCTTTTTCTTTTTTTTTTTAATTCATTGGATGATTTTTATAGGCTGCAATAACATTGCAGGCAACACAACAGGGGTAGTTCTCCCCTTGACTCACCAAATTGGTGATAACAACTATGGTCGAGAGGACTCAAATTCGAGATCTCACACTCCTCACATGAGTGAAAATATCAACCGGACTACTACCTGACTGGTTAATTTTCGTTCTTCTTACATGATTTTTTCTTTAACCAAACATATATTTATTTATCTAAAGTATGTTGGGAGAATTAGAGGAGAAAATTTTAGCTTCACGTATCATCTTTATCATCTTTCCATCATCTTTAACCAAACATATATTTATCATCTAAAGAATTTGATTTTTTAGCAGGTCGAGCTATACATGCATGGTAGCTGCCATATGATATGAGTCTAAATTAATATATACACGTTTTGTTGTTGTTGTCATTATTTGTAATCACCGATAGTATCCGTCCGTCTCAATATATAAGTCGTCACTGAATTAAGGTTTCAAACGACGTAATATTTTCAAGTCATGTGTTGTCATTTGGAAAGAATTGCATCCATAAAATGAGTTTTTCACGTCTTTAATCAAATGAGAAAAAGGAAAATTTTGTGCTTTATTTGCTACTCTTTATATTTGAATATTTCCTTAGAGGCTTTTATGGACCGAGAAATAAGGGTTAAAATTTAATAAGTGAGAAGACCAACCAACCCACCTGATTAATAAAATTTAGACTTTATACTTTATTTTCTTGTCAAATTTAATGAATTTATCTCAATACATGAAACAGTCTAATTAAAAATTTTATAAAAAAAATAGCATAATTTAAATTTTGTAACACTAAAATTTGGTGTTTCTATGACTTTCAATATTGAGCAGATGAGAGAGAATATTTAGTCACACGTTTTATGCGTTTAGTTTGTGGATTTTATTACTAATTTCTAGACATTTCTGGGCTAAGGTCATCTATGAATTGTTTCCTCTGGACAGTATGTTACATAGTTTTTTGTGTTTTGTCAATTTTATAAAAGTTCACTCGTTTCTGTATTAATTTAATAGTATTCATCCATCTACGCCTCATTTTTAAAAAATAATGCATAGCCAGTGGAAGAAAACATCGCACACCGTCAACAATAATCATCTTCTCCAAAATTCAACTCACACCTCACTCTGTTACAGACGATGATGAGAGGTGGCTGTGAATAACTCAATAATGTATAAAAAAATTATTGTGAAGTTCTATATTTTCAGCCTTTTACGTATAATCTGGGCCGGGAGTTCAGTAATCATAATTTAGATGAAATATATCGAAATCCATAATCAAGTTAGATTAATTTGGTTTGAGTAGCAGAAAACATAAATTTCTTTGCTACTGATCAAATTAATTAATCAATTAAGTAAGAAATTAAAAGAGGAATGAACATTGTTTAGTTTTGATTTAATCCTCTTAATTATTTCAAAATCACTATTTTGGCTATATTAATATGATTGCCCTAATCCAGACATTTATGAAAAACAGAAACAAATAAATTTCTCATTCAATTAGCTTCCGTTTTTTTGTCACAGAATCATTATCTGACATGGAAGGTGATGATTCCCGTTCGTCGGAGCCGACCAAATGAGGAAAATTAAGCTTGGCTTTGGAGCCACGAATCTTAAATGCGGCTCGGTCATAAGCCAAGGCGGCTTCCTCAGGAGTCTCGTAAGTCCCAAGCCACAACCTGGCTCCATTCTTCGTACGAGGCTCTCTAATCTCCGCTGCAAATTTCCCCCACGGCCTTCTTCTCACTCCCCTGTAATGCATTGCGTTCCTCTTTTGCGGAAGCGTGTTCTTCTTGCTCTCGCGGTCTGCTTCCAATGGAACAGTTCTTTTGGGGGCACGCACTACTTCTTCAACGACCTCGATCGCTTTATTATCAGATTCATACGACGGAGACCATCCGACATTAACGGCGTCTCGTAGAGCATCGTAGACGATCATGTCCTCTGAATCGTCTAGTTTAAGTGGCAAATCTCCCCAGTTTTCCGTCAAAAAGCTGGAATATAGATGATCGAAACTGGCAGGGGCTTCGAATTGGTGTTTAATTGGTTGGAGAAAAACCAAGTCTGAGATGCTTTGTGCATGCATTTTCAAGTTCAAAACAGAGATCGATCAGGTCGGAAACGGGTTTCAAAATTTTATATCGAAAAGGCCCATCATACGCTGTCAAAAGTTTCCTTGCTTTTTATGAATTATTAATATGAATGTGAGTGCCATGCAAGTGGGTCCATAACGTGCTATAAACAAATGATTTTTTTCTATTTTAATCCTTTTTCTAATTCTTGGGAATATTTTTAAATTGTTTTTTGAAATTTGAGGAGATCTTGGAGATGTGAAGCGCTCGCTGGCCGCCTAATACTGCCAAAAGCTCCACATCCACGTGACGTATATTTTAATCTTAGTTTTGATATTAAATTTATTGTTATTAACATGCCAAAAAAAAAATTATATAGTATTATTTTTTTTTTAAAAAAAAAAAAGTGAAATGCTCTCATTCAACCACATGATATATAAAATGCCAAAAATGAACAACTTGACAAATCTTACCCAAATGAAACAGTTATATTTAATTTTATTTGTATTTTGATTTTATCTTTTTTTATAATTGTATAATTAAAAATAATTTAATTTTAATAAAAGTATTTTTCTTTGGTCTACTCTATAAATAGAATTATGGACTTAATCTATATAAGTTTTTTCCAAAATAATCTTTCAAACGCGCTGCTTATTCTATTTCAATGAAACCGTATTTTTTCTTAGTATATTTCTTATAATTTAAAGAAGATTATTTCTTGTATATTTATTGAACATTTACTTTTTTTTTTTTACTCTTAATTATTGACATTGAAAAAAAACTAATAAAGTAATTTCCATCAAGTGTATTATTTCTCTTTTATAAAAGTATATAGAGCTAGAAAATTAGTAAAAGGATATTGAGGTAATTTAAAATTAAAATTTTATAGAATTAAAGTAAATTGATCATTTTTTGATCCGTATGACAAGTTAAAAGTTAACGGTTTAAATGAAAAAAAAAGTAATACATTCTTCATTTAGGGTTAAGGGATTTGAATTGAAAGAGCAAGAGATAAAAAAACTTGACTAAAATTTCCGTAGGATGTGAAAATTATTGAATAAACTTTAATATAGCCCAGATCTATTGTTCATAGAATTTGTTTGACAAGAATATACAATAATCGGAAGCGTACCTTGATCCATAACGGCTCGGAAGCACGTACCGATCCCATAAAACGAGATCTATGTATCGGTTACCTCGTTGGACGAATTTCGATTATTCACGCGTAACAGCAGATCTAGTTTCTTTCTCTGGCGTTTTGTCCGCTTCAATTGCTCTCTATGGTCAGGAAAATCAACAGCTCCGGTGAGTTGTCTTTTTATGAGCCCTCTCAAACAAACCTCATTTCCATATAGTTTTGAGGGAGCCGTCCACACTCTTCTTGTTTCTCTCGGTTAACCCTAATCTGTTGATTCTTTATCTTTTATCAAGGCAAGGAAGGGTATTAAAACCCCTTAACTCGCTCTTACATTCATTAGCTCAATAACAGGCAGAGGAAGGGTATTAAAACCCTAACTGGCTCTTATTCATTAAGCTCAATAACCATCATCTTGGACCACCTTAATTAGAACCAGCCCTTTAATCACATGGGCCACATACAGATTATTAAAATAATCTAACAAAAATTTCTTGCTACGTTCAATGTATGTGTGGCCTGAATTCATACACTAAGTCAATAAAAAAAATATTTTTTAAAATGTTACTATTTATTCTTTTTTATAATATATAATAAAAAAATACTCTTAATTAAATTAAAATATAATTGATAATTGATTTAATATATAAATCAATAATTAATTAAGTGCAAGTAAGTCGTTTCCGGCAATAATAATAATTTTGAACTCTATGAAGAGTTGTCTCGAAGATCCATGTCGAGCCGAGAAAGCTATAAGTGTCAAATTGAAAAAGCTTTAACCGCAAGAAGCACACGGCATTGTCTCAGCTCATGTTTTGTGAATTAAACATATGTGTCTAGTTCGAGGAAAGATTTGTCCAAAACCAGTTCATTTTTCGGCATTTTATAATTTATGCATCTGAATCTGATCATGTTTGGGGACCAAAATGAGTGTTTTTCATTTAAAAAAAATATTCAATTTAGTAAATTTAGAATTTACTTGTTTAATATAAATATTTTATTATTTTTAACTCAAAATATAGTAAATTTTCCATAAAATTCAAAAATCAAAATCCTAAATACTTCATAGTTGATTGATATTTATTTCACACATCATTTCTAAATTTTTCATTAATACACATAATTACATTTTTATTTTTATTCTAATTTATCACACATTAAAATAATTTTATATAATAATGAAATACATGATATCAAACTTTGCAGATTTTAATGATTAAAAGATAATATAAATAACAAATGATATATTATTATAAAACTCATTTTAAATAAGATAAAAAGATTTACCTGCATCCATTTCAAAAAAAGATTTATCTGTACCTACTGTACGAGTGAGTTTCATGTACCAAATCAATCTACGAAGAATTCTTTAAAATATTACATTTATTTTTCGTAGTTTTCCTTTTCAATGGATGGTAAAAAATATCATTATTATAATTTTTTTAAATAAAACTTATTTTTAATTGATTTTTCCATAGAACAAGTATACGAGTAATAGGATTTTTTTTTTTCTCTCACTCAACTCCCTTTCTTTCTTTTAATTTTTCTTTCTCTTTAGCTCTCCCTTAAGGAAGTATCGAGTGAATTAGAAGCAGTAATTTTCTCTTATATTATTTTTACCATCTTTGCATCATCAAAATTTTTAAAATCTGATACCAAGATTTTCTAAAGATTGGTCGTATTATGTTCGATAGCAAGACGTCTGCACCTCGATACTATATATATATATATATATATATTTCCAATTTCATACAATTTTTAGTAGTCAAAGTTGATTTATCACCTGTAACATATATTTCTTGAGTATAAATTGAGTTAATATTAAACTAATATTAATTGTTTTCCAAATTAGCCTAAATGAATTTGTTTGAATTAAAAAAGAAAAGGTGGTAAACAACTAAACACTTGCGTTGCCATTTTCCAAAAGAAACATATTATCCCACTGATCAACTTTGACTGAATCTTTATTTAACAATAACTTAGTTTTAAAAAAAGATTACTTTCAATTACTAACTCATAATTACATATAAATTATTAATATATTTCTTTTCTCAGGAAGGTTGATTGCATTTGCAAATTTACTCCAAAGCTGTACGTTGGTCATGTTATTGACCCTAATAAAAAAATGTGGGAAAAAAATAAAATAAAAAATGTTAAGACAGTCTAGCTTTCAGTCATCCCTGAGCTTCATAGCCAAGGATCGATTTGCTGAATTTAGCAGGATCAGATCTTTTTCGAATATCGACTGGATCCTTTTTGAGATCTGTTAATTTTTTTTTCAAGCCCTATAAGACAATTTTTTTTTTTTTAGCAGATCTCAAAGTGATGTTGCTACTTGTAAATTTTGTTTTGCACTTAAATATATTACTCAGTCGGTCCAATCAATCTCCGGATGCAATAAAAGATTTTAGAGTAGTTGAGATTGCTCTTAAAACTACCAACTGCTGAGTTGAAACGATGCAGTTGAGATTCTTTTTTTCCTTGATCAAAGATTTTAGAGTTCAAGGTTATTATAGAAATTGCCACATTGAAAGCTTTATTCCCTATACAAATCCTTCAGTATTTGCAGTTAACCTAGTTGAATTTCAATAGGCTTTCTGATGATAAATAATAGAGATACTATTTTAATTTATCAGAACATTAAAGTTATTTTAAATGTTGTAGCCGAATTTATAAATATTTTTTAATATATTTCTGGACTGATTTATAAAATATGTAAATCATGAGATTATAATGTTTTTATAATAATTTTCATTCATATAATTCAAATATAAAAATAGGTAAGAAACCGAAAAATTTCCAGATTTTTCAGTCCACGTTTTTCAAAAAAATTATGAAGTCTATGAAGAAATTATTACAGAGGCTTCGATGGTTGAGCTTGATAACTATGGAGTACTTGAAAGAGCTCAGAGACTGAATGACGTTTTGGAAAATAACAAAGTAAGTGCGTTTATATATATATATATATATAACAGAGATAGATTCCCCTTTATTTTGTTTGCATTACAAGAAAAATAAATAAAAAAAGGTTACTCAATTCATTATCAGTTATATGACGGTCGGATGACACATGGTGTAATATAATTTAATTTATATCAATAATTTCCTTAACATGTGAAGATCATGATCCATGCCCAATTAGTTTTTTTTTATACAGAGTGTGTGTTTGGTTATCCAAATTCAATTTGAATATCATTTTCTTACATTACTAGATTTTAACGAAAGTGATTTTAATTACTATAATTTTCGTATCACAATATAAATCTATGAGAAAAATAAATTTATTTAATTCAACTATAAAAATATAATATATAAATATCATAGGTATGTACATATTATATACATATTAAAATTTTTATAATACCAATTAGCATGAAATGTAAATTTTTTTTCAAAAATTATTTAGAGAATATAATTTAATAATAGATCAACAAATATAATTTTGATTATGGTAATAATAATATATATAATAGATTATTTTTCAATAGTTTTAGTTTTATGCATGTCTAGTTATATAAGTTGTTTTGGGAATATTAAGAAAGTGATTAATGAATTTCTTTTAATTTTATTACTGTATACATTTATCTACTGTTTTTTTTTATTATTTTTTGAATAATTTTTTCATAAGATTTCAATAATTAAAACACGAACGTGTTCGCTCTTGGCTCACTCACTTGTTCATTGATATAATCAATCATGACGCGATCGAAGTTAATAATACTCCAATTGATGATATGAAGGGATGGAGAGCAACGTGAGCAAAAGCCAACGTGTTTCGAGAACGTAAGTTCTGAAACTAATTATAAATTATGTTTTTTTCTTTTAGAAAATTAATTAATGATTATGTTAGTTGGATTAATTAATTAAGGTTTTTGCGTTTTTAAATGATGAATGAGATGCAGCGGCAATTTTTTTTTTCCTTATTAAATTGTTAATTATGCATAAAGTTACACGAAAATTCAGTAATATGCAAAATAATAATAATAAGAAAAAGACCCGCGTGGACTACAACTGCCTTTATTAGACTGGATTTGTTTTTTTTTTTTTTTTAAGCATAAAATATTCAATAATACGAACGTGTTTTTACATTGTTAATATAATTACCAAAATGGCAAAAACTTACTTATACCCATCACTTACAAATAGTATCTTCATAAAAAATAAAATAAAACAGTAATATTTTTTTTAAAAAAAAAAAATTTAATTGGTTAAGGGTAGGCATATTTTCCAAAGAAGGCATTACAAAAATATAACACGTGACTTTCATGCAACCAATCACATTAAATTTCATTTTTTAATACTCCATAAGAAAAATAGTAAAATACCATTATGCCCTTCTCGCACTCTATCCCACTCTCTACTTCAGTTTCCGCCCGAGAAATAGCTATAAATATGCATGTCTTCCTTTTGGCTTGCATGCCATTGCAGCAAATTAATTAGTTAATACATAAAAAGGAAAAATGCAGGTACAGAGCAGCTCGGGTTCCATGCTCACTTCTCTTCTGGAGTCGATTCGAAATCATCTCCTCGCCGATGATTTTGAAGATCCTTGTACTGCTACCGCTTCACTTCTTTCTTATACAAGTGAATGGTTTTCTTCGCTTCAGCTTAACTCCGTTAATGAGTTATCCATGGTGGTTGAACAAGAATCTCCGAGTATAGATGTAGGTAGTAAAGCGGCAGTGCCAGTGCCAGTGGCTCGTCCGAATCACACGCCTCCACTCAGGAGGAGGAATTATATTGGTGTAAGGAGAAGGCCATGGGGAACTTACGCAGCGGAGATTAGAGATCCCAAGAAGAATGGTGCCAGAGTATGGCTAGGGACTTATGAGACTCCTGAGGATGCGGCTGTGGCTTATGACCGCGCCGCTTTTGAGATGCGCGGCTCAAAAGCTAAGCTGAATTTTCCTCACTTGATCGGGTCAGACAATGTGGAGCCGGCCAGATTGAGCCACAAGCGCCGTGTCCCTGAGTCATCATCTTTAGCGGTGAAGAGCAGTGGCTCTCCAAAGCGGAGAAAGGGTAATAAAAATCCAGTAGAGGAGCTCCAATACGGTGTCGAACCACTGTTTCTTGGCGATCAATCCATGGTCAATTCAATTGTATGTGATGCCAGCATCAGCAATACGTTTACCCTAGTTTGTAATTAATTACTGGTCAAACATGTGCTTTTTACTTGTAGTACCAAACAATTTTATTTTACTTCAAACATTTTTTACGTGGCAAACGACTATTATTATATATCTTAAACAAAAATAAAATTAACGCAAGATTTTACCAACGTCTCGTATATGGATTTACTCATATACCAAATTAATTATAAATAAAAATTTTGATTCGAACGAAATTGGAAAAAAAAAACAATAATTTTTTTCTAAAAATATTAATCTTATTAATAAGATTGAAATTTACTTTTGTTCACGGTAATAATGTTTGCTCTCTTCAATTTTTTTATTACTGTCAAAGCTAAATTTTATTTATCTATGAATTGTAGCTCAATTGCAATGCAAGCTGAAAATGTGGCAAAAGCTATTGGATTTAATCTCCATTAAATGCACCTGCAGAGAGGAGTGAAAAGTCTTAACTATGATTAAACTCGAGTCGGAGTAGACGATCCCTCGTAATGGAATCCGAATACCGGTGATTTAAAAAAAAAAAAAGCTAAATTTGCTTTATATATTTTGATTCATAATAAGTATGCACATCATATTAATTTTTTTCCCCTATTAAATTGTAATGACCATGCATAAAGTTGTATGAAATTTCAATTATACGTAAAAAAAAATAAGAAAAAGACCCGCGTGGACTATAACTGCCTCTGTTAGACTCTTTAGCTTGTTTTTGTTTCTAAGCGTTAAAAATTCAGCAATAGATACGTTTCATAGATTATAAATAAATATTATAGCCATGTGTATCTCATACTCCATTGAATACGAGATTATTTTCGTTTTAAGTTTTATGATTTATAAATGTGTTTTCACGGATATTTTATAGAGATTGTCCATTAAACTCAAATATGACTTATCATTTGACTAACTCTTCATGTTTATATTATAAATTATAAATATAATTAAAAAAATATTACTCTCTTCGTCCTATTTAAATTTACTTGTTATTCCTTTTTTGAATGTTCTAAAATATTTCTAAGGTTTCTAAATTTTGAAATGTAAATAATTATTTTTTCATAATAAACTTTATGATTATTCATTAAATAAATGACTTTTATTAATATTTTAATGAGTTAAAATTAAAAATGCAAAATAACTTTTATTAACTAAATTCTTAATATGTATATTTTATCAAACTATTCAAACAAAATTGGACGAATAGAGTACTATTTTATAACAAGCGTGTTTCATTCAACCAATCAAATTGAATTCCATTCAACACTGCCAAGTTAAGTTTGGACGTATGAGGAGACATGTTGTTCTAGGTGTAGATGCTTAATTTTATTAGTTTTTACTGGTTAATAACAATAAAGAAAAATAAAATTGAATTTCATTATTTGATACTCCATGAGAAAATATCATAATTGGTTTGGGTCTGGAACTTGCTCCAACCACCATAGATAAGTGAAGTGCAAGCGGCAACTTCTTGAGAAATGTTGTTGTCCCTCCAACACGTGGGACACACAAATTTGAAAAAGAAAAAAAAAAAGGGAAAATTGAAGGCACTCATTCATTTGATGGACGCGTTAATGATGCATCTCCTTCTCCTATAGGAGAAAGTTTTTCACTAAATAAATACACAAAAATAAAAAGAATAGCAATACACAATTAAGTGTAGAGAATTTTAGGAAAAAGTTCTTAAAATTGGGAAAGAGAGAAAATAGTGAGGATTATACTCTTTGGGGTATTTTTTGGAAAATACTTAGAGTACCACTATTTTTGTAATATCTCTTGTACATACTATTTTTAGTGGAAGAATTATTCGGAATTTTTGTCCCGTGGACGTAGCCCATAACAGTTGAAGGGTGAACCACGTAAATCTCGGTGTCCTTTTTGTCCCGTGGACGTAGCCCATAACAGTTGAAGGGTGAACCACGTAAATCTCGGTGTCCTTATTTTTCATCTGGCATTTACGATAATTATTGGAAGTATATGTGGTAATAGTAATTTAAATCTTTATTGGCGCTATTAACTTTTATCGTCGATAATTTGATTATACTTTTACCACTGGCATTTTTCCGCGGGCCCCATTTGCGATTAATTATAATACCAACAACTGGTATCAGAGCCTTTGGTTGGTAACTCTGTCAGTTTTCTACAAAGCTACTATTCATGTGAATAGTGATTTTCGTGAATAGTACAATTTTGTCAGATTTAGAATTCGACATGGCTAACGACGGGGCAATGATCAAATTGACGGATTCGAATTATTCAATGTGGAAATCTAGAATGGAGGACTACTTGCAAAGATCTGTTTACATCCAATTAAAGGTGACAGTGCAAAGCCAGACTGAAATGAAAGAAAGCAATGGGACAAAAATTAAAAAGCAGCATTGCGGTACAATACGCATGATAGATGCTAGCTTGTACAAACCACTGAGAAATTGAAAAAAAATTCCCCAAGTCTCTAGGAAGAATTAGAGAATATGTAACGAGCCTACAAATCTTAAGGTAAAGTGTTTCATATTCGTAAAGTCATGAAGCTTAAAGTTGTCAGAGGGCAAAATCTAGTACACAACACCTGATACGATTTTAAGGACTCGTAGCTGATTAGCAGTTACGCGTATGCCAGATGACGAGGATGCAAAGCATTGCCTAGCTTTCGATTTCGTGTCACCGGATAGTTGGGATTACTCTTTCGTTCTTGGGTTAACTCAGCTCCAAATTGTGTGGAACATGGTAACAATGTCTATGGTAAAGAATAGACTACTCAATGAAGAGCTACGAAGAAGAGACGTCGCCAGTACCAGTTCACAAGCCCTTGTCACAGAGAATAGGGGCCGGAGCAAGAGTAGAGGTCACAGGCATGAAAAGTCAGGTGGTAGATCCAAGTCCAGAGAAATAAGAAAGTGTTATCATTGCGGTAAGGAGGGTCATCTCAAAAGGAATTGTCATTTACTTAAACAGGATAATGTAAACCGAAGACAGGAGAATGACAGAAATACATCTGCTACAGTCTCAGTAGAAGATGGTGAGGTGACTTTCACTCATGATGCAGATTGTTGTCATGTTGGAGATGCAGATACCGAGTGGATATTAGACTCCGGTGCTTCATACCATTGTGTTCCAAAAATGAAATACTTTTTCACTTATAAAGCAGGAGATTTTGGCACTATTAGAACGGGAAATAAGAGTTTATCGCAAATGGTGGGAATCGGTAATGTCTGCATAAAGACAAGTGTCGGGTGCACATTAATACTTAAAAATGTGAGACTTATTCCCGATCTTCGGTTAAACCTGTTGTCTGTCAGTGTACTGGACAAGGAAGGCTATCACCACCATATAGGTGACGGTAACTGGAAACTCATAAAAGGGTTTTTGGTGGTGGTAAGAAGAAAATTATATTGCTCGCTGTATAGGACGCATGCAACAATATGTGTGGGTCTACTGAATACAGTTGCAAATGATGCTTCACCAAATTTGGGGCGTAGGTGGCTGGCGCACGTTAGTGAGAAAGGTAAGAAGTCCCTCATCCCATTAGCCAAAGGCAAAAAAAACCCTTGTGATCATTGTATATTTGGGAAGCAACATCGTGTCTCATTTCAGAAAAGCTCTAGACGAAGAGACAATAAGTAGGAGTTGCTACACTCTGACGTATGTGGTCCCATAGAGATAGAATCACTTGGAGGAAGTAGATATTTTCTAACCTCATTGATGATTTCTCACGAAAAACATGGATATATTTGTTGCACATAAAGGACCAAGTATTTAAGCACTTTCAGCAATTCCATGCGTTGGTGGAAAGCGAGACTGGAGCGGCTTTGAAGTGTTTGCGCACGGATAATGGTGGTGAATACATCTCTAAGGAGTTTAGAGATTGTTGTAGTTAGCATGGTAGCAGGCATGAAAAGACAGCTCCTAGTACGCCTCAACACAACGGCGTTGCTGAATAGATGAATTGCACCATTGTCGGAAGAGTCAAATCCAGGCTTAAAATGGCCAACTTATCTAAGCCATTTTGGGAAGAATCTGTCAATACTGTTGTCTACCTAATCAACCGACTACCTTCAACACCTTTGGATTTTGATATCCCAGAGAAGGTCTGGACAGGTAAAAATATTTCATACTCTCACCTGAAGGTATTTGGCTGCAAGGCATTTATGCATATTCCGAAGGAGCAGAGATCAAAGCTTGATAAGTCAGTTCCTTGCACTTTGTCGATATATGGAGACGAAGAAGTCACTAAAAACTCATAGTGACCATATCGAGTCCTGAAAGCAGTCTTAGGTACATCTGACTCTCTAACTCTCAACTGATGATATCCTGATCTCAAATCAATTTTCGAAAACACCGTGGCCCCTCTCAACTGATCAAACAAATTGTCTATTCGAGGTAATGGATAACGATTCTTCAGCGTCACCTTATTAAGCTGCCTATAATCAATGCACAATCTCAAAGTACCATCCTTCTTCTTCATAAATAATACTGGAGGGCTCCAAGGAGATACACTAGGTCGAATGAAACCCTTACCAAGCAACTCCTGAATCTGAATCTTCAACTCTCTCAACTTAATAGGAGCCATCCGGTATGGAGTAATGGATATCGGTGCAGTACCCGGCACAACCTCGATACTAAACTCAACCTCTCTCGCAGGAGGCAAACTAGACAAATCCTCAGGAAATACATCTGGAAAGTCACACACCATCGAAATCCCATGGACACTGGGAGATCTCCGCTCAGGCTCAAGTACACAGGCCAAGAATGCCTCACAGCCATGTTGTATCATTCTCCTAGCGATACTGGCTAAAATAACATTAGAGAGGTAATCCATCCTCTCCCCCACAACTATAATCTCCTCTTCAGACAGAGTCTATTACGTCTACAATCAATAATGACCCCATGTCTAGACAGCCAATCCATACCCAATATCACATCGTACTCCCGAAAAGGCAACTCTATCAAATCACCTAGAAATACATACTCATGAATGCAAATCTCTATACACCGATTAACTACTACACTTTGACCCAAAGGGCTCGTTACCTCAACGCTGTGCTCTAATGTATCAGCATGCATACTACCCAATCTACCCACAGGGATGCAAATGTATGAATG